AAACAGAATTTAAGCAAAGTTCCAGATCATTTGTTTGTTGACTTTGCTAGAGGACAGCTCAGGTAGAAGAGAATCTTTGTTGATGCTAAAACTTCCTTTGAGTCCTTCATATTTATAAAAACATACTCATATATGTTTCTATATTTATTAAGGTGAATAAGCATGTTTGATATATATTTACACTATGTATATATTATAAAAGAATTTACTGCTGACAATGCAGAATGAATATCTAACTATATAGGATGACATATTTATCATTAGTTCCCTTTTTGATGCATGACTGCTAACAGGAAAATACAATTCTAATTATAACTTTGGAATATTTAAATTATTTTCCATTTTGCACTAAGGATATTTTGGAATTTTAATATTCTATTTTATAAGGTATTAGCCAGAGGTCTAAGATTGCTCAAATCTCTACAGGGGAACATAAAATAAAAACAGAAAGACTGGGACTTTTTCATATGTGGATTTGATAAAGTTGTACCTTAATTGCTGCTATCATAGTAGTCAAGAAGCAGTTATTGTTTATTATCTGAAAATTACTTAAGAAATTTCCATTAATATCACAGTTTAAAAGCTATTCTGCAAGAAATAGTTTAGCTCCTTTTGTGAACATGGTGAATATTTTATATTTTGTTATAGGAAACAGCATGCACATTTTCAACAAAAGAGTGTCCTTCCCATAACACCTCAAATAACATATTCAATTTAAAATGTAAGCATGACATTCAGGCTTCATTTGCTGTTGGTGTCAATCTAAAAAAATATAAATTGATGCAGACAGAAAATTCTAATCTGATGCCCTAGGGACAGATCCAATAAAATACTTAAGCATCTAAATTTGGTGTTAAAGCAACTAACTTTTAGGTGTTTGTCCCCCAGAAGGGAATCTTGGGCTGAAGTGAACTGGGTCTTACATTCCTATATAGTGTATAGGGTAGCTATTGCTAGGCATGTACCAGTTAAGGGGTGTTATGAGCAGCCACTGCCTCCAACATCACTTAACACTACCCAAACCAGGTACTGCAAATTGGGATCTAATGAAGTTAACAAGTAGAACTATAGTCTGTCTAAAGCCAACAGAAAATCATATGCAGCTATCTGGAGCTAGTAAATAGAGAAACTCTGGCAATAGGACTGAGCTATAAATGCCACCTTGCAGACCCCATATGACCAGAGGCTGCGTTGTAAGGGCAAAGGGACGACAGTAAAATACACTTCCTTCTTCTACACAAAGCACAGCGATTAAGGATACTGCCCAGGAAATGTGACACAAGTTCAATTCTCTCTTCTGCCTGCAAGGAATTAGGATCCACATCTCCAAGGGGTGTGTGTTTAACTTTCAAGCCATTGATTATTTTGAACTCTTTTTTGAAACACTTCAGATCAATGAGCAAGAAAAGGATCAGGATTCAGCAGTCTAGTCCTTAGGTTCTTCGCTAGTTCCTCCTTCCTATGCTATTTCCAGATTTAACAGACAACATCACTGAAGAACTGAATGAGTATTCATTCAGCCCCATAAATACGCAGGGGCTGTATTTAGTCACTAATAAATAAATTTATTTATTTGCAACTTCAGACTGGGAGATCTGCAGGACTTCAGGTAACAGCTGAGCAGGATAAGTGATAAAATATACCTCACCAAAATTGAGGGACTATCTAGAGCAAACTCTTTGAGTCACGGAAACTTTACTTTACCTTACCTGAAAAGACTCAGAGCCTTCATTTTAACATAAAAAACTGAATGGATCTTTTCTAATGTGACTCCTATACTTCGTGTAAGTCCTTCTTGTGAAATCTGACCTAATAAAACCAAATGTGCATCATCAAATAGTCCATAATTACAGGTTACAAAATTAGATACTTGGTTTTGATGATGGCTGTCAAGTACTTGAACCAACATCGTGTACTTGAGCTTACCTTCTTCTTCCCAGGAACATTTGCAGTTCTACAGCCCGCTTTCAGTAACATTGGAAAATCTGCTATCCTCTAATAAGGAAAAAATCCTGGAAATCTAGGGTAATTGACTTCTCTGGTCATACAGATAATGACATCTTGAGTTATGTATGAACTGTGGGACAGAAGTGCTCTGCAGTGTCTCCTGCAGTCCTCCATAGTCCAGACTAGGAACCTGGCTGGACCACAACATAACCCTTAGCAAATCTAAGTTTTCTGCTCATGGAACCCAGGGAGTGGATGGAAGTTCAGATGTGTACATTGGGTCTTGCCCCAACATGAAGCTAGGATGTGGCCAAGTTGCACATCTGGATTCAGCAGCTGGAAAATGTTCCCAACACCCACGGTTTACACACAGTCTTTGAGAACAGAACCTCTTCCTGCTTTCCTGCAACAAATATTGTCCCAGAGCCTGATGCAAACTTTCCAGTTTTAATAGGCAGCGAATCAGATCCTTAGAACCTAATTTGATTCTTGGCGGGATAATGACAACCTGACTCCAGTGGTAGGTGAGGTCACTCATGGCTGTGCACACCAGAGCCTGAGAACAGATTTTGAAGACAGTCTAAACGCAAATAAAAAAAACCCAAACAAAACTGCACAAGACATTTACTGGTAGCTTACACCACCCCAGTAAAAGAAACTAATTTTTGCCACTAATAATAATTCTGGCTGAATTTTGAATAGAAATGCATATGACCTTTGAAAGACTGAATACCTTCAAACTGTTACTCAGTTTGCAAGTGCCAATGAACTGTTTCTAGATATATTACACTATGTTGCATGGACTGGGTAAATTAGCTCCTTTGTTTTATGTTTATAACAGATAAATGGTATTTTCTCTCCTCTATCCAACTCATAGATGAGGTCAGACAACTAATTCACCCCTCTGACATATGCTAAGTCTTTTCAAAATTTGGTATGTGGATGAGTTGCCTCTGTTATAACTTTGTTCCCCCTTTAAATTCCCTGTTGCCTGAAAATAAATTTTCCCTGATCTCAGATCACTTCAGAGATTTTTGGTCTTTTCATTTTTTTAATGGAAGAGGAGACAAGAAGAGAAAAAACAGGGCCTTCTTTACCAGGCAGGATTGCCCAGGTTCTCCCAGGTTCAATTAAAAGCCATTTTAGTTGCAGCTGATTGATAGATTTCAGCCAACAAAAGTGGCTTAGAAGAAAATACAATACTGTTTAAACACTTCATGATACTTATTCAGAACTTGTTTTCCTCTCTTTCTTTTTCTTTTGAATCAGATGATGAAGGTGATGGGGTTTCAACAATAAGAGTACCACCACCTACATACATTTGTTTGCATTTTTAAATACGGTTGCATTCTGACTGATGTGCAGTGGTAAGCAACAGTTTGAAAATCTGATTGCAAGCTCAAAGTGACAGAAGCAGATAATTACTATCTCCACAAATATCTATAAGTTAAATCACTTGTTTTAATACAGATTAGATAAGTGTTAAAGTTACAAGATTGGTATGAGAGACATGATAAATGTAGTCATGACAGAAAACAATTTTTAATTTAGTATACCCTATCAATCTAGATAGCCCATGAATATTTACCATTAATTCAGTAGGCTGGAACAGAGGGGAAAAAAGAACAAAAAATAGAAGGTTTGACCTAAACAAGGACTGAGGGAAAAAGAGAATTCTCAGCAGTTTTACTGAGAACAGATCTTGCAAAAACGTGAACTGGCAACAGATTGGAAAATACGTTTGGGGTACCACTATAAAAAAAGCCTTTAAAAAAACCTGAATGACATGCAAAAATAGTAGCAATTCTTAATATGTACTTCTCCTTGCAGGATTTACCAGTCTGATTACACTTAAATGAGTAACTTCAAAGGCTGAAATAAAATCATTTATGGAAATTCAAAACAAACCTATTTGATCACATCATACTTCACAGCAGGGATACAATTTGCAGGGGCTGAGTGAGGGCATAGTGTAAGCTAAAACAGGTTGTGTGTGCAACGAACCAAACTAAATGGTTTATATAAAAGAAATGTTGTTTCCATTAATTTTTCTGGTAATCCTATTAAAAATGCCACCTGTCCAGAATAGAATCGTCCAGATTTTAATTCTTTTTCATATCTCAGTGTTCAAACACAAGACAGAGAAGGTATCATCTTAAAGCTATTAAAATATGGCACAAAATGTCTTATTCTGAAATCTTCATTACTGCAGCAGTTTCTCTGGCTCTGTTTCAGTGTCTGGCTATTATATCTTTTATTTTTCCTCTCATTGTGCTCAAAGAACTGATTTTTCTGATAAGCCCAAATAGTATTTTTTCAAAGGACATGTCATATTTCTAACCTCTCTTTAACCAAAATGTTTCTAGTCTATAATACTTAAAATTCACATATATGAAGTAAATATAACATGAAATGCACCTTTTGAAATTCCACCACCACCTCTCCAAAATCCCCTGTAACAACCCTGAAAAGGAACTTAATTTTGAATACCAACAGAGATGAAATGGTGTCATAATCAGCATAAGTGCATGTGGACTATTCACCTAGATCAAACACTTTGGTCCTATACTCAATTAAATTTAAATCCCATTATATAATGTGTACCGGCCTCATTTTATGCAATTCCCTAATTTAATGGCTTGGTATTAGCCTTTTTCCTTTTTGCACACATGGACTAATTTTCACGGTGCTCAGTCCCCTTGGGAAGTAGGTCATAAAAGTCAACTGGATGGAGACAGAAACTTAATACCTAAACAGTGTTGTATAAGGGTCAGAGACACAATAGTAATGTAAAACTGTTTTTCACTCATCCTTCTTTGTAATATTTATGAAATTCCTCCATTACAAATATAAATATTGTACATTAATCTCAAGGACCACAAAGTAGAAGAATCAAGAAAGCTATCATCCTGTTACAATTTAATTTGTGAAACAAAACAACACAAAAAGAAAATCCCAATTAAAAAAATAAAAATCACAATTCTAATACTATTTAGCTGTTGAGACAATACTTGTTTTACACTGAAACCATAGAATCATAATATTCATATTACCTTTCTCAATGTGTATTCTTTTTGTCTCGTGTCCCACATCATGACCAGCCAGATCACCCTCCTTAGGTCCAGGCAGGACATTAGGTGACAAACCCATCAGCATTTGGTTCATAGATAGCCCATTCTGATGGACAGCTGCTAGACACAAAGAAAATTAGCCATCATATTAACAATACACTTTTGTACTTATATAGTCTTTCTCTTAATTATACAAGATTTCTTACAATCACAAAGTTACTTAATTAGTGCTATCAGTATCCACACAGCGGAAGAGTTTCTTCCTATTACTTCTGGTTTAAAACAATTCATTTTAAAAAGAAGAGTTCAGTATCTTTGGACAAAGTTGGATATTTGCAAACATTTTCTTGTTTATTTATCAGGAACTGAAATGCAAAATGAAGCAAACCAGAAAAGCACAGAAGGTTCTACGTGAGATACTTACTGATTTCTTTTTTTGTAGTTAGTTGTACAAAAACTCTTGTATATTAGCATTCCCAATATGCAGTCCCTAACTTCCTTAAATTATGCATTGTGGCCTTCCAGGTGATAAACACTGTTTTTCAAAATACTGTGCAACAGTAGAACTACTTATTTGCTCATCAGATCGCTTGAAAAGCTCTTTCCAACAGTTCTCAAACAGACCTTCATGAGTCTGAAACACACCTCAGAAACCCATATAAGGTATGCATGTAATACATATGTCATACGCAACCCATATTTCTGTAGTAGTCATCTTATTCTTGCTGGCACCACAAAAGCAGATGTACTTAAGAATCAGTTGTGATGTTAACAAATCAGATAGGAGAGAAAAGAGTTATTTTATAAATAAGTAAGTTTCTGAAGTGATCCAATATTTAAGGAACTCTGTTATGTTCACATTGGAAGAAACAACGTGCAAAAGTCCCACTCCTCTCTGCTGAATAGTATCATTTCTTTAAAAAAAGTGTCATTCCTTAGCAAAAACAGTAAGTATCTCTCAATTTAATTTAATTTACTTTTTTTGTTTAGAGAACAATGGAAAAGGTCTTCAATGGTTGCAAAAAAATATACTATTCAATCGATAAAAAAATAACAATCCAGGGCTGTGAGGTTTTTTTCCAGAACTTCACTTGTGAACTCTGTGGTGAGTTGACCCTGGCTGGACACCAGGTGCCCACCGAAGCCGCTCTATCACTCCCTCTCCTCAACTGGACACGGGAGAGAAAATATAATGAAAGGCTCGTGGGTCGAGCCTGGGGAAACAGATAGGTCACAGTATATGGGATGCCAGTTTAATCTGCACTCTGAATAATCCAAGTGATAAGAAAACAGAATTTTCAGCTTGTCGTGGTCAGGCCTCATTTTTTTTCTTTGGTAAGTCATTTTTCATCACATAGTAATGAAAGATCTTTCATCTGAAGGTCAATGAAGAGTCAGCTTCCTGAGTCTGCAGAGAGCCTGAAAGGAAGCAGTCTAAAAGACGTGCTCCATCTAATCAACACAACTACGTATTTCATATAGCTATTTTGTGGCCTTCTATCTGCATGCCAAATCCTCCAGTTTCACCTACTGATAAATTCCACTGTGGAAAGATGCCTTAAAAGCACAAAAACCTGCAACGGAGCAATAATAAAAGGAATGGACAAGTGTAATATGAATTTAAGTAAATAACCATAAAATAATATGTGTTTAAAACCTTAATTTCCAGGCTGTTGCACTGGAATATCATAGAATTCAGGGTCTTTGCCATGTAATTTACATCCTGTACATGGAGCCTTGATAAAAACGGCATCACTCTGAGACACCATGGTTTAATTTCACTCCGCCCCTTGTGAGCTATGAGGTGATAATATTCTCTGTATCATATTTCTCACCATTACAAAATTTTATATTTAAAAAAATTATAAAGTATGCACAGTTTTTAATTGATTTAACCTAATTCTTCTCTTTACCAAGCAATTCTACCGTGTAAAATGTTGCTTATGAAGTCAGATTCAATTTAGAAATCAAACCAGAGTAACCAGATTAAATAAAACTCAATTTCTTTTAAAAATGTTTACACTGTATGTTCAGTTCTAAAACTAATCTAGCAAATTGCTTCCCGGCTGCAATTCTGTATTTCATAGCTCATATCTTTATGTTTAATATGACATGATGGCAGTTTATATCAGTACCCGTTAATGTAGCATCAGATATTATGATACTGTAAACTGGGGAACATAATGTTGGGAGATAGTTATTGCAGCTGAACTTCCGAACATGATACATATGAGATCTACTTAAGACAAGGGCATTTTGATTAGAAAAACCAGCTGCACCTAATCAAATTTAAAGTGGTGACAAGGAGAAGAATGTGACCTACGGATTCTGTCTGACGAGCTCTCGGTCCGTGCAGGAGAGCTGGACACACTGCTGCTTCGATGAGAGGATGGATGGCTGCCAGGTCTTCGGCCCTCTTCAAGAGAAGGAGCAGGAGAAGGACTGTCTGGAACACGTTCCTAGACCCCACGAAAAATAATTGCAAAAAAAGGCAATGTTAAACTAAACCTGTGTTTCCAAACACCACTTCCCTTAACTGTATCTCCCTTCTAAATTACAACCTATTCTTTCCTCCTCTGCTGAGGTGTCCAGGATTTGCAGAGTATTCTCAAAGGAAACTTGGCAATTTTGGGACACTAGACCTTACATTTTAGTATGCAATGTGAGTTCTGCTCATCCTGTCAGGCTTTTAAACTGCCTTCTGGACTACTTACAAAAATAAGGTTTTTGTTTTGCTTTTGGGTTGGGTTTTTTCCTCACTTCTATCAGCACACTGTTGAATTGGAAATACACATTTTGGCTTATAGACTTTAGCCTTACGGGATGAGGAACGATGTACTTTTGTAAATAAAGACCAGACACTGTTGGTTTAGCTTATGCTGAATTTTACTCCACATTTTAATTTCAAAGGGGCTTCTTGCCCCTTATGGGCAAGAAGATGGGCAATGAGATCTTATGGGACCGCTATGAATCATAAAGAAAATATAATCTCCCTACTGAACCTATACCAGTAACACAGCTGATGAAAGTCCAAATGTCTGTTTATACCATGGAGCACAAACCTGGAATGAACCACACTTTTTGGACGAGCGTGGCTGTATCACTGGCCATATCACTACTTCAAAATGGGGAAAAATGCCCATTCACGTTTTTCTATCCAGGGGAAAGCCTGGCATGGTAGTCAGGAGGAGCTATGATGTACTTCAGGATGTTCCTTGATTTTGAAAATTAGAGTATGAGAACTGTGATGGTTTGAACTGCACTTCTGCTACGTGAGAGCCATCAGTATGTAGCAGATAGATATATCTGATATTTACACAGAACTTTGACAGAAGCAATAAACAAAGGGAGATGAGTACAGAATAGTCCTTTCTAGAAAATTTTCTATCTTTCCCTGCAGTTTCCTTTTTATTCTTAATAGGTCCCAAGACTCTATGTCATTGCTAAAATATGTGTGAGTTAGGTTGGTTTGGTCGAACAGTGATAAAAATAAATAGTTCCTAGAAGAGAAATCTATTGGAGGGACCGAAAATGTTAAATTAGGGTATTTTTGGTTGTTGGGTTTTTTTTCCTTTTGATAATTGAAATCCTGACTCCTAATGAAAAAAAAAAAAAACAACCCAAACCAAAAACAACAAACAAACAAACAACTGTATACATTCAACTTACTAAAACCTTTTGGTAATGAAATAATACAATTAGTATGTGTTCAAAAATACATATGAAAACTTGGTACTGCAAATGCCTAAAGGTTTTCCTGAAAAGAGCATCATGTTCCTCACGCAGCAAATTGCTTTTGCAGCAGTCATTCTTTTTCATGCACAGTAGCTAGATGAATATTTATTTCTCTGAATGCATTCCTATGAAACTTAGCAACATGACCATCTATAGTAATCAACAGATTTATTCCAGGTAAGCGTCATAATAAATATCTGCTAAACTTGAGATTCTGATTGCAAAGGGATTCAGTGGGCCTATTGATGGAGTGGGAGAAGATCTTTCAGAGCAACGTTTCAAGACATTTAAGTGGATTCCACTTTAATAGTCTCAGGTTTTTAAGTCAAAAACATTGATGAGGGTAGTTTAACTGCATCATAGCTCTAGGCTTATAATGATTTTGATTGTGTTTATATGTCCATGAACCGGGTATTCAAGAGGAGGATTATAATGCAGATGTTTTCAGAATGTAGAAGATTTATTTCTTTAGATTTAGGAGGATTTAAGCATGCACAGCGTACAGATTTGGTATAAATTGGAACACGGTATATTTAATCATTCATTTAATATATAATTTCACTGTTTGGCAGACAATGTATTGTTCTTAGAAGGGTTTCATTAAAATGAAATCCAGTGAGCACATAAGATTTGAATACAGAGCTGCAGAGTAAATTAATTTATTTAAACAGCTTAATTTGTTTATCCTATTTATTTATGTGTGCTTTTACAGCACGTATTATGAGATGGAGAGAGCAAAAGGAATGCACAGGACAACAAAATATAATTACTGCACAAACAAAACAGATAATGAGTTTTATTCACGTATAATATGACATAGCAGACAAACTCTATGAGAAAACTATATATACTGGCTTTATGAATCCATTTGTAAAATACACTTTAACCCCAACAAAACATGGGATTGAACTATGCAGAAATGGAAAATAAATTAATTTAATACCTTAACTCATTTTTTTATATCCTTGCTTCATAATTCCACAATCAATAATATAGTCTATAGCAGTTTTTTGTCTTTACCAAAACTAGCTGCAATAATAAATGGAAATGCTACTAATAATAAATTGAAATACTCTGTAGCTCTAAAAAGTCATAGTGATAAACTAATGGTGCTGGAATATCAATATAAGCTGTCTTCCTTACTAGAGATTTTGTGTAGAAAAGATGGATTTTGTCTGTGGTAAAATATTAACTTTACATTTAGACTTAATTTTAAATTTTTCAGAAAAGGAAATGTGCAAAAATGTGTTCAGTAAATAACTCAGACGATCAGAGTTATTTTGTGACTTCTGCAAAATGACACTTTTGTACAAGTAAGTCTACATGACACAGCAAAGAAACAGAATTTACTGCATTATAATCCTGGCAATAGAAATGACCTAAGATATTATCCACTGTCCAGTATTTTTTCTAAAACTTATCTACTCCCAGGACAAACTTAATTCCACTTAATTAAAGATATCTCTAGAGAATCTGATGTTGGCTTGTACTGTAATTAGGCTTGTTGTCTCCCAACATATAAATAAATAACTAAATAAAATCTGAATTACTTTGCTTTGCTAAAATTAAGTATGAGGAGGAAACCGTGCAGGGTTCAGTTTGAAATCAACACATTTGAATGTAAATATCTAAATGCAGTTTTGATACATGAGCTAGAGATGAAACTTCAGAGACACCTGTATCTAGGATGCTACATGAAGGTGCCCACCTTGAAGGTAAGTTGTCTCCCATTTCAGTCAATTGAGATATAGACAATAAATTCAGTGGAGCTTCTTCCAAAACCAGATACCTACAACTCAATTCAGCTGCTCACATTTTAGCCGTTTGAGCCACTGAAAGGTTTTGAGATGTCTACACCAGGTTGACAGACAGGACCTACAAAAGATCTGCAGCCTTCTGGAGTGGCAGCAGGATGCCAAAAACACTATCCTTGCACTTACTGGCTGATGAGTGGAATAGCTCCCAAAACTTTATTGACATTATTTACTAGAAAACAAGAAATAAGGAATTATTTATGGCTTGTAAAACATAACCCTCACTAGCTACCTTTTTTCTCCACTTTTTGCTTCCCTATTTGTTTCTAGAGGTACTCACAAGTAAAAAGTAGTGTGAACAATTTAGGGCATATGTAGCAATTTAACATATGGTCGACCAACTTTTCAAAATTGGTAAGACTCTCAATTAGGCATCAGAACCAGAGGCTATACTAAACAATGGACAACACACTCTTACGGGCCAAATTTGAAGCATTCCTTATCTTGGTGCTCTTTACAATTTGATCCAAATCATGAGTCCTAAGCCTTTAAGAATCTGACATTTAACTCCTCCAAAAATGCTCCTACCATATATGAAACTTTCACTTTAGGGAGCTGCAATGCCCTTTCCCGTACTCTCACTCCACTGATGTCACAAGTTACACACCCTCAATATCAAGTCTGTTTCATAAATAACGGAATTGTTCCTGTGACACTGGGCATTTTTATCTTGTAAAGAACAGGTAAAAGATTTTAACTGTCACAGATTTTAACTTATGAGATTGAAGTTGTCTCTAGAATTAGAAACCACTCCAATTTTGTTCCAGCATACCACATATCATCCACAACATAACACTGTCTCAGTCCCTCCAAGTAAAACAGAACTTATCAACATTTTTCTACATTTTTCAAACAGCTCTTTGCATAGAGGCAAAAACCATGCTGTAAGATCTCATTCCAAATGTTCCTTTTAAGTAACTTCCTATTAAGATTTATCTTAATATATCAGTAATGGTATCCAGAAGACCACAAATACTTTCTTCCCTATATCATAGATGTCTTTTTCTTCTTACCAGGTCACAAAGGTAGTTATTCAATATTAATCTCTTCTTTTGCCTCTTTTCTTTCTGCTCCAGCAGCATGTTTTGATTGTTCGAAAAATGCCTCATTACCAAAAGTCTTCCTCAAAAATTTACCAAAACTTAAAGTTGATGGAGTTCAACTGTCGGTCCCTATATCACTATCAAAGAGAAGACATTTCAGGTAATTTGTGTAGGATTAATCCTTCTGCTCCTAAGAAGATAGACAAGGAAGTGATAACTTCTAGGTTCTCACCACCTCAGTCTCTCCACAAACATTCTTTATTCTCTGTCATTCCTGTTCCTTAGCGACAAAATTCCAGAATTTTTCTGATGAAGTTTGAATATGCCTACTTCCAATAACCAACTCTTTTGCATGCACAGCCTTCATCTCCTGCATATTTCTCTCCTACAGGTATTTTCAGTCTCAGCTTTTTCCTTTGTTAGAGTTTGCTTCTCCACGAGACTCATCTCTTGGGCTTAGTCATCTTTAATTTTAGTCATGGACTGAGCTCTAGACATGCAACTAAGTATAGCTGTAGAGGTATATCGCTTTTAAAACTATTCAGCTGTCTTGATGCTCTTCAGTGTTGAACAAACTCCTTTAAGGACGTTTGTGCTTTAAGTCATTGAAGTGCAGAGGATAAAATAACATATTTTCAGCATCATACTTTTCAATAGTTTAGGTAACTTCACACTGCGGAAAGGATATATGACACACACAGTTTCATACACTGTTAATTTAAAAAAAAAATGAAAAAGCTTTTAATCAGGAATTGCTTATAATATTCTGACCTTTCTGGGAAGGTACCTGGCTTCCAAGCCTTTTTGTGGTAAAATTATAATAATCTCTTTCACAATGGCCAAAACACAGACTTCTTACTCTTCAGT